CATAGAACTGGGAAAATGAACAGCAGACCCCAATCTTATCTAAAGGAATATTGACAACTGATTGCTGCTAGATGAGGAACAGCTGACCCTCCTAAAACAAAGACCTCTAGATAGACTGACTAGATTCACGAGAAGGCCAAGTAGTGGGGATTGGCTGGGGGTGCCGACATCACAGTGGACAGTAGCAGGGATATCAGAGTATAAGGGCTCTAGTGCGGGGGAGGGAGGCTATGGGAGGGTGCCATCTGGGAAGTGGGTGTATAGTTGAATAAGATGGTTTGGGATGTTCTGTGTGATACACACACACACATACACACACAAATACACACACAAATCAAATTAAAAAATGTATTATGGTTGAGGAGGAAGCATGGAAATTTACGTCATGCTAATAAGTAGAGGTGATAAACATTACCACTGAAATCTACCTGATGACTTTATAGACATACACAGGTGCCAAGGATCCAAGTGTAACCGATTATGACTAGTAATAATCAGATACGTACAGATTAGAGATGCATGTGTTAACATCTAAGTGTTAGTAGCAAAAATGATGAGACTTTCTGCAAGGAACAATATTTTCTAAAATGAAATGGATGTCTTTTTTAAAGGTTAAAAACTCATTCAATTTAATGTCTTATAGGGCTTATACTGAGTTCAATATTGTATAACTGTATTGATTCAACTGTAAACCTAAAAATTTACAGCCAATTTTGAAAGAGATGCATCGTAGATCTGGAAATTATTACTGAGTATGTCAATGCTGTTTTATTGAAATGCTTCTTCTAATTATGTGGTTATTAAATAAATATTTTTTTAAACTCTTTATTTCGTGTGTGCATGTGTGTGTACCTGTGGTGGGGGAGTTTGTGTGTGTGTGTGTGTGTGTGTGTGTGTGTGCGTGTGTGTGTGTAGGCCAGCGATCACCTTGGGTGTTGTTCTTCGGGAGTCATCCACCTCCTTTCAAGCAAGGTCTCTCCCTGACTTGAACCTACTCAGGAAGTCCCAGGGATCTGCCTGTGCCCACCTCCTCAGCACTCAGATTACAAGCTTGTGCCACTGTGGTTGGCTGTTTACATGGGTTCTGGGGACTGAGCTCAACTCAAGCTTGCACAGGAAACACTTTACCCATTGACCTACCTCCCAATATGTCTTTTCAGATGCATCTTTGCTCTGGAAATTGTTATTGAATATGTTAAAGTTGTAATGAAATGCTTCTTCTAAGTATGTGGTTATTAAATAATTAAAAAAATATATGGCATGGTGCTGGGCATGGTGATGCATGCCTTTAATCCCAGCACTCAGGAGGCAGAGGCAGGTGGATCTCTGTGAGTTCGAGGCCAGCCTGGTCTACATAGTGAGTTCCAGGACAGCTGGGTCAACAGAGAGACCCTGTCTCAAAAAGACCAAAAACAAAACCAAACCAAACACATATGGCATGGTGAATTTGCTATCGTCTGTCTTGACTCGGACCCCTTTTTGCCATGAAGCCATCTTCTTGTTTTCTGTTAGCCCAGTGGTACCATTCATGACCTCTCATTGCCATTTGTATACATTAACATATAATAAATCTGTGCATAGAGCAATATGTTACTTTGCATCTCCAAAAGAACACATTTTACACATGTCATGATTGAGAATTTCAGTCAGCAGGATCTGGCTGTCATGGACATGGCTTTGGGCAAGAGGAGGGAAGCTTCCTCATGACTTTAAGGACCGAGAGGGTAGACCTAGCAAAAGATCTACCCTGACTTCACTCCATGGTTAAATACTACTGTCGAGTTTATGTGTGATCTCTCACATGGAAACAACCTTAGCTTCTATAATAAATGGTATTCTTAAACCTCAGATGCAGTTGGCTTACATCTTGAGACCAGAAGCCTCAGCCACAGCGTCTGAGACAATTATACAGGCAGCTATAAAACCTTTCTGGTTGCTAGGATTTCATTGGCTCATCGTGTTTATTAAGGGGTCATTGACCAGAGACAATACCATCACTTATGTAAAGTTAAGAATTCATAGTGTATAATAGATGGAGTAAATAAAAAGCAATTGCCTCTACACATTTCTAGGAAACAAGTTGAAATTTGTTTCTTTTCTCAACAGAGCCAAATTTCTCAACCTTTCATTATGTAATTGCCATGTAATGAAGCAGCAAATACAGTTAAGGCTACTCAAGATGTAGAAATAGTCTTTTTCTAACTCTACTGTCCACTTTTGAGGACACAGGACTCTTTCCGATGGAGTTCTCCACTAATAGTGAAACTTCAGCAATGGTTACACAAATCTTCATGGACATGGTTTTTAGTCTACAACTCACTATTCCTTTCTTTTTCCTCCCCTCCTCCCCCTCCTTCAGCTCTTCCTGGGCCCTTCTTCTTCTTTTTCTTTTTCTTGAGACAGGGTCTCCCTGTACCCTAGTTGACCTGGAACTCACTATGTAGACCAGGCTGGCTTCCATCTCACAGAGCTCCTCCTGCCTCTACCTCCCGAGTGAGTGCTGGGATTAAAGGCGTGTCACCACACCCAGCTCTTACTCTTTAAAAAGTGGCACTGCCTGGGTTTTCCTCTTCTGAAGCTTTGAGACACAGAAAAAAAGGAAAAATGGGAGGCAATTAAAGAAAGCTAAGAATTTAGCTATTTACTGGTTTATTTGGTCTCATCCACTAGAGCTTTGATCAGCTTGGTGCTGATTCTAAAACAGCACACCATTTCTCAGTAGTGGTGGAACCATCTTAAACGTACACAGTCAGGTAGGTGATCAGATCAGAGATCTGTGGACTCTGAACATGAGCAAGTGTATCAGTGGCTTCAGTGAGTTAGCACTGAGACCACATAATTTGCTCAAAGCTTTCTTGCTTCTTAAAAGCACACTTGGAGCTAGCTCTCCCCTGGTAATGACTTTCAAAATCACTGAAGAAAATGCACACTATTATTTTATAGTCACAACTTTTTTTCTGACACATTACAGAAATCATTCAGCTTGGATGTTTACCTCACTCAGTAGGCCTCGTTCCAAACAACATCTGGCTAGTTACAAAAATAAGTACAGCCTTAAAATATGTAGATTTGCTTTTCATGAGAATAATGAAAAGAATGTGGCCCCAGCCACGTTTCTTCACATTTCCTTGAAGAAAGGAAAATCCGAGTGATAACTCTGGTAGGAATTAACATATCTCTTCCAAAAAGAACCACGTTAAGAAATGTCTTTTGGAGCCAGGATTGGTGCATGAACATAGGGAAACAGGCTTTCAGACCTCTGGGAACTTGCTCATAAGAACTTACGGCAATGGTGGCACCATGCGACAAGACCCATGCAGACTCATCAGACAAAAATCCAGCGTAGAACCAGGGAAATGGGCAGCAGGCCTCAACCTGAGCCGAAGAACTATTGGCAACTGATTACTGCTGGGTGAGAGAGAGTAGATCTTCTTTAAGGAAGTGACTCTAGACAGGCTGGCTAGACTCCAGTGGATGAACTTGCACCGACGTACATCTGGGTGCAACAGCTTGACTTGATAGGTCTTAACATATATGACAGAATGCATGAAATCCAGTGGGGGAGGGGCTATAAGGGGGCACAGATGGGGGAGGGGGACCTAAATATGATTAAGATTTATTGTACAAAATGCACAAAAATTCAATAAAAATATACATTAAAAAGAAATGTCTCCTGTATTTGGAGCACTGATTGATTAAAGATAAAATATCTGCATTCACAGCTCCCTTTGGAAAAGCTTGAAGGCAGGAGATATGTTTTGTCAAAATGCACTGATGTTTATGAGATGCCACCTTAGCTTGTGAAAATGTGGTGGTGTTGCAGGATCACATCCTTTGGAGGACCAGGCTTCAGTATTTTACACACCAGACTGGCTCTCAGCTTTTTCCTCTTCAACTTCTAGTGGAAATGATGCATTCTTGCTTAGTAGACTTTCAGTAGACTAGAAATGCTTTGTTCCTGGATAGAGAACAACAGATCAGACTTGCTGTTTCTTGGCACATTCTAATTTAGGGGGAGTATTGTCTAGTCATGTTTGGCTCTACTCGACTCAATCTAGTCTCATTTTATTGCATCTTGTATTGAAAAGATTGGAAGGGGGAGACAGTGCCATGTGAGAGTGACAATGTGGCCACTGGAATTAGGGAAATCTGCCTTTGATCTTGGTTATACCATATGGGAGCTTTAGGACCTTGGAACACCCCTCAGAGGCTACCCTACACAGTCTTACAGATAGGGTATGAGTCTTGAAGGAGATAGTTCATATGAGGTGCCTGGCAAAATGGGTGGTCAGCATGCAGGAGCCAATTAGAGTCACACTGTGCACAGGCAAATGCTATAGTACTTTGTGCATAGTTAGGTGCTCTCAATTGTTAATTTTCTTATTGTTCTTGTAAAGACTGAATAGTGCACATGGAGCCTGGGAAATTCCTGTAACTCCACAGGAAGGGGCTAGCTCTGTCTCCGCCTGACTGGATAGAATGGCCAGGAGACACTGAGTTAGATTGCATTTTCTGATTTTAGCTTCTGAGATTCCCTGCTAAACAGTCTAGTTTCCAGAATGTCCTTGGATAGTTTTCCCCTCAGAGTCCTCACAAGGTATGAGATGAATAAGGCACAAATCTTTCCTTTGCTTAGGAGAAAGAGATCAGAGGAGCCCCCTAAATCCGGGGGACAGGGAAGAGCTGCCACTGTAACTCAGTGCCCAGTGCATAAGTGCTACTGTTGGCAAAGTTGTTACTTTGAAGCCAAACCATGAAGCTCTTTCTGAACTAACTAGCATGGTTGGTGAGGAGTCCTGACATAGCAGAAAGCCAAAGTAAAACATTTTATTAGGTAAAGGACTCATGTAAGGTGGCTAAATAACAAATGGAAAAATTGGTAATGAGGGCAAAGGGGGTGGGGGGAGCTAATGATTTACGTGGTCACCACACCCACTACTGACAGAATATAAAGCCTTAGAGAGGACCAGGGCTTATACCAGAGACAAGAAATCAGGTTTAGAAACTGACTTTCAGAGCTCTGTTCCCTTCAGCACCATGCCATACAACTGCTCTCTGCCCACCCTGAGCTGCCGCACCAGCTGCTCCTCCCGGCCCTGCGTGCCCCCCAGCTGCCATGGCTGCACCCTGCCCGGAGCCTGCAACATCCCCGCCAACGTGGGCAACTGTAACTGGTTCTGCGAGGGCTCCTTCAATGGCAACGAGAAGGAGACCATGCAGTTCCTGAACGACCGTCTGGCCAGCTACCTGGAGAAGGTGCGGCAGCTGGAGAGGGAGAATGCAGAGCTGGAACAGCGCATCCTGGAGCGGAGTCAGCAGCAGGATCCCTTGGTGTGTCCCGCCTACCAGGCCTACTTCCGGACCATTGAGGAGCTGCAGCAGAAGGTGAGGGGATGGACACCGCAGGGCCAGCCTAATGAATTATGCAAATAGAACATGCCGATTCTGAATGGATCTAAGGCTGTTCATATGAATGTTGAGCGACACAGAATTCCCTGGCTTAGGAAGGCCATCGAACAGTCTGTGAAAATCCATAAATCCATAAATTAGCCAGAGACTTTTTCATTGCTTCTTACTTAAAACCAGAAGTATTTTAACCATTAAAAAATACATTTTGTTATTTTTATTTTATGTGTATGTGTGTATTGCCTGCATGTAGGTAAGTGCACCTGTGTCGCACGATGCCCATGGAGGACAGAAGAGGCTGTCGGATCCCCTGGAACTGGAGTTACAGACAGTTGTTAGCTGCCATGTGGGTGCTGGGATTCGAACCAGGTTTTCTGCAAGAACACTTGGTGTTCTTAACCACTGAGCCATCTCTCCAGGCCAAGAGCTCATTTTTTAAGGTGTATCTTGAAGTTTTTCTCTTATTTTCAGATGATTATAGCATTTAAAAATTAGGCACCTGAATTAGTTCTTGGAGCTAAAGATTTCCTGGGTGAATCCTCAAATAGTCCAAACCTTTTCAAAATTGTAGTGACTGTAATAACAGCTTTGGTAAACCAAGAGATGCATTGACTCCAGAAACCTCACTAGCATACACTCATGCCACCCAGTAGAGCAGGTGTGTGGACAAATGACACGTGGGGCCATAAGACAGAAGCAAGTGTAAGTACAGCCACATAAAGGTGGGACTTGGAAGGATTCCCGAAAAGCCAGTATCTGAGTGGGATCTGAGGAATGACCAGGAGGGGTGTGTGTGTGTGTGTGTGTGTGTGTGTGTGTGTGTGTCTGTGTCTGTGTGTATGTCTGTGTGAAGTGCATATGTGTAGGTGCCCAAGCATGTGTGTACTTGTGTGTAGGCCAGGGGACAACTGCTGTCATTCTTTGGGGCCTTCTACCATTTTTTTTCAAGATAGGGTTTCTCACAGGCCAGGAACTTGCCAAGTACTTGCCAATTGGCTTGCTAGGAAGCCTCAGGAATCTGCCTGTCTCTGCCTCCCAAGTTCTGGGATTATAAGTGAGCACTACCATGCCTGACTTTTTCATGTGGGTCTGGATATTGAACTTAGGTCCTCATGCTTTATCAACTGAGCCATCTTCCCAGCCCATCGCTTATATCTGTTTGCACTAGTCCTTGGTTCTTGGAAGGAATTGTCTGTCTGCCATTTTATAGTCCTGACAACGTGAATGCCAGAGAGCAGTATTGGGATTTGAATATCATAATTCATTCATACTCAGTTGGTGTTAGGCATAGTGCTGGGATGGGATTGGGGCAAAAATGCTGAGTAAGATAATCTTATTTCTTCAGGAGCATACAGTCTAATAGGGAGAGAGATGTGGGGAAAAATGACCACAGCAAGGGCCGTAAGAAGTACTATGGGAGAAGGGAGTGCAAAGTATGTGGAGGAGGTGGTGGCTACTTGGAGGAGCTGGGGAAGGAAAGGCTTATACAAGGTGCCTTTCTAGGTGGGTGAGGGCATTCAAGGGTGTTCCAGGTGGAGGAAGAGCGGAGACAAGTCAGCAGGGCTGGAATGAAGGTCCAACTTGTTCTGCTTGCTTGGGACGTGCCTGGTTTAAGCATCCCGGGTACCCCCTCCAACCTAAGGCTTGATTACCCAGAAAATTCAGTTCCTACAGGAAGACTAGAAGCAGCTCCAGAAGAAAAGCATTCATGACAATGCTCACCAACTGTGGGAAATGCATAATGCTATGCCAGTCACATGTCTCCTTTCTGGAATTCACGGCACATTTCACCTTGACTGTTCCGATATTCAAATGGTAGTTCTCTGAATGAATCATGCCTGTATCTTCAGCGTGAAGATCTGAAAGGATACAAAGCAACTGGGAAGGACTTGTGGCTGAAAGAAATCCTATAACCCATTTAATTAATCACAATTAATCCTATCGGCAGATCCTGTGCAGCAAATCTGAGAACGCCAGGCTGGTGGTGCAGATTGACAATGCCAAGCTCGCTGCGGATGACTTCAGGACCAAGTAAGACATTTCTAAGGGTGGGAACAGTCTAGTAACAGGCTAACTTGCATAGTCACGAAGACTCCTTGAACCAGGATTATGCCACAAGCAGCTTCTAAGTGATAGTGCGACTTGGGTTAGAGTTAGTGTAAAAGTCAAGGTCTCTCTCCATTGAGTGCTGAGAGTTTGTGTTTTAAATTTAGCTTGCAGGAGTGTATGAAACCATTCTTTCTTCTTTGGAACTCAACACTTAATCGGAGTTTAAAAGTGAATTCCACACTGATCTCACAGCCTAGTCACTATGAGGTTGCCCCAAAGAATTTATTAAACCATAAAAATAGGAGGCAAAAGCCATTTATATTAATAAAGAATTAATTGATATTTTTGTATGATTATAATCAGAATAATCTTTTAAAATATTTTATTATTTTTATTTTATATGCACGAATGTATTGCCTGCATGTATGTAAGTGCACTGTGTTGTGCAGAATCTGTGGAGTTTAGAAGAGGGTATCAGATTCCCCTGGAAGTGGAGTTATGAATGGTTGTTAGCCATCATGTGGGTGCTGGGAACCAAAACCAGGTCTTCTGCAAGAGCAGTCAGTGCTCTTAACTGCTGAGCATCTTTCCAGCTCCATATACATAATACTCTTTAGAATTTTATGGGAATTCAGAGTTTATGGTATGATTTCATACATATCATTTCTTCAACTTCAGTCCATTCTATGAAGTATTAGTTTTGTCTTCATTTTATAAACAAGTCTCAGGGAGATTAAGAAATCTACCCCCAGCCATTTAATGGTAATGTTGCACCTAAGTGACTTCTAATTTGGTGATTCTTAGGATGGTTGGAAAGAACCGGAGATAAGCTGGAGCAAAATTGTGAAGTCATGATTCCCTGATAGCAACTTGTGAATGGGATTCTTAGAACAAATAAAGTGACTGATGGATGAAACAAGAGACAATGCCTTCTCTCTGGGTCTCAGGAGGAAATAGATCTCCTTACTTACCATAGTGATGTCCTTCTTTTAGAAAATTTAAAAAATAGAAAAATCTCAAAATATGATTTATTTGACTATGTTATCAAAATAAAGTTCAGGAAACAATCTTCCTCTTAGACACCCTCTGACTTTTTGACTGTGAAGGTATCAGACTGAGCTGTCTCTGCGGCAGCTGGTGGAGTCAGACATCAACGGCCTGCGCAGAATCCTGGATGAGCTGACTCTGTGCAAGTCTGACCTGGAGGCTCAGGTGGAGTCCCTGAAGGAGGAGCTGTTGTACCTTAAGCAGAACCATGAGCAGGTAAGAAAGTCCCAGTCACCAACATCACAATGCTAAGTACTCCTTCTTAGAACTCTCCTGAGCACGATAAGGTAGGCCTTGGTTTGCTAAGCCAATGCAACATTTTTGATGATTGTTTAGAGCATAGCTGAGGTTACTTGGAAATGAGGTACAAGTTGACCTCTTTTACAGGAAGGAATGTGGTCAGCTGACTTGTTTGATTGTGGAATCCGATGTGTGGCCAAAAGCTCACGTAAATTCTATTATCTCTGACTAGTTATCAAATCAGTGATGCAGACTAGAAGGAGATAGATTTTTATCCTCTGTGAAACACAGACAAATTGATTCCAAGCTGGATCAATGGATGGGTGGATGGATAGATGAATGGATGGGGAAAAGGGGGGAAGTGAAGAAACCCAAAGTAACGGGTGGTTCAGGTCTCATAGTTACATCCAGCAATAGGAGATCAGCTGTATGTCTCACACATTAGATATTTTTCTGAGGGGGAAACAAGTTCTAAGAGAGAGGATACCAAAGTAGGAGACGTGCATTGAATGACGGCATTACATCAAGTTTCTTTATATTTAAGTAACAACAGTTACAAACCATTTGTCATGCTGGGCTGACCAATGAGCAAATACAAAGTCAGAAGGAAATGATAGAATCTCTGGAGTCCCAAAATATTAGCAATAATTTGACCAAGCATCCTCAGAGACGAGGAAAGGGACTGTGAGTCCTCAGAGGTAATTTACGCCACCCGGACTTCAATCCAGGAAGGTTTTCTAATTTCAGTGCAACACTTCCCTCACCACTTTGCAAGCTTACTTACAATATTTGAATTAAACTTTCCTTTCCTTTAAGTAATATTTAAAATAAGCTTTCTTCTAGTGAACAGGTACAAATGTCATTTTCCTTCATTCTTTATAAAAAAAAGTTCACTCTATAATGCTTCGTCCTTTTCTCTTCCCCCATCAGGAAGTCAACACCCTGCGCTGCCAGCTTGGAGACCGTCTCAACGTGGAGGTGGACGCCGCTCCCACCGTGGACCTGAACCGTGTGCTCAATGAGACCAGGTGTCAGTATGAGGCCCTGGTGGAAACCAACCGCCGGGAAGTGGAGGAATGGTTCACCACACAGGTGGGCAACTCAGCACATGGTCACTCGGGATCTGAGTCTCCAGGACCCCAAGGCAGAGTCTGACTCTGTCTCCTCTCTTTGCCTAATGCAGACAGAGGAGCTGAACAAGCAGGTGGTGTCCAGTTCAGAGCAGCTGCAGTCCTACCAGGCAGAGATCATCGAGCTGAGACGCACAGTCAACGCCCTGGAGATCGAGCTGCAGGCCCAGCACAACCTGGTGTGTGGTGTTCAGACCACTGCTCACAGTGTGGCATTGGGGAGGCCGCGTCACTGTGGTGCTCTTGGGGCCACTCCCTCTCTTTAGCTCTTGAAGCCTGTGACTTTGGAAGCCCATGGCGGAACCGTCAGAGGGAGTATCTCTCTGACATCCTTTGTCTTCCCCATCACAGAGAAACTCTCTGGAAAACACACTGACAGAGAGCGAGGCCCGCTACAGCTCCCAGCTGTCCCAGGTGCAGTGCCTGATCACCAACGTGGAGTCCCAGCTGGGTGAGATCCGGGCTGATCTGGAGCGTCAGAACCAGGAGTACCAGGTGCTGCTGGACATCCGGTCACGGCTGGAGTGTGAGATCAACACATACAGGGGCCTGCTGGAGAGCGAGGACCGCAAGTGAGTTGCTGGCAGGTGCACCCACCCTGTGAGGCACAAACACAGTTCTACTAAAGGCATTAAACAGGGACTTTGCCAATGAAGTTCAGCTACCGAAATGCTTTTAGAGGCCAATGCAGAGAACCTGATGCTGTCAGGACCTGGGATAAACGTATTTTCTATTCCAAAAGTTAGTCATCACCAGTCATCCCCACTGGTGATTCTTTGGCTGTGGATGGATGCTTTCATGCATGAAGGTTGAAGCTTAGAGGGTTGAAATGACTTCCCTGTGTCTCCAGGGTCACAGTATCTTGTATGTTCTCTGTTCTCTTCTGCCACTGACTCAGAACTTTGTAGAAGGAATGAGCTGGACAAGGCTTGCTCCTTGAGACATTAGACATGGACTCTGCCTACATCAAATCACCTTGCTTTAAGCCAACCCTCCTTTTCAAAAAATTAGTGTATTCATACTAATGATCTAATGATTCTGTGTCCCAGGCTGCCCTGCAATCCCTGTGCCACCACCAACACCTGTGACAAGCCCATTGGACCCTGTGTCCCAAATCCTTGTGTGACACGCCCCCGATATGGGCCCTGCTAAATACCCCAGAGCCAGCAGGAGGATTGCATGAAGATAAAGAAGACCATCGATGAATCAGCTCAATCTTTCAGAAAGACCATGGATGAACAGTCTTTCGTATGAATCATAGTCTGGAAGGAAATCAAATGCCCAGTGCTGTGTTTTGGCTTTGAGACCAGGCCCACTGGAACCTCTTCATCTCCAGCCTCTCTCTGTCCATCCTCTTGTGGTCTGATGGTCTGAGAGATCTGAGCTGTGAAGGGGCCACATGAGGTGTTTTATGCTCTCTCTGCTTCCTCTACCCTTTCTTGCACTTTCCCTGAGCCTCTTAATAAATTTTCCTCTTGCAAACACAATTTTCATTTGTATTCTTCCTTTTCAAGGTATCCACTCTCCATGTGATTCTTATGAAGCCACTTGAAAGCTGAAGTGGACATTACAATTTAACTCCTGTCCTAACATTCATTAAGCACAGTGTGTTCCAACATCCACACAGGCTGGCTTTAAACCGTCAGGGCAAGAGGCCTCATCTGAATATCACAAACACATGCATTATAGGCTGACACTTTCAGAAGTTTTCTTACTTTTTTTTCTAAGTCTCTACATGATGAAGAGAGAAACTAACATCTACATACCAAGTTCTAGGCGCTCTTCCATGGTGAGGATGGAACCCAGAGCTCACGCTCTACATGTTAGTTACGTGTGACTGTGACTAGAAGATAAACTGTTTTCAGGATCCTGTCTGAGGATATCAACTTTTATTTCCAGGAAGGCATATAATTCTCCTTTGGGAAACATTGAATAATTCACAGTCATGAAAAGGGCTACCCATCACATTTGAATAATAGGCAACAGATTTTTACAGTGATCCCCTTCTCATCTGATTTTTTATCTACTGTAAATATGAATTTGGGGACGCTGCCTCCAAGGTTGTTTAGATCTAAGCTATCATCTCTGGTGTCTGTGGATGCCAAAGGCGACCCGTATACTGGTGTTCTGCTCCTACCAGTGTGTGCTGATGTCTAGCCAAGGCTAATGGCTCCCATTAGCATGCCCGCTGAGGTCTGCCTCACGCCCAGATTGTCTATCCTTGCAGTTGTGCCTTGTGTCCTGCTACGATGATTCCCACATCCATGTAGTTCTTCAGTTCCTGTGCCCTCATGTTCTAGTTCTTTGACTGTTGCTGTTCCTTTGTGGGATGTTGGTAGACCTCAGGCATGAACCCATGGAAGATCTTCTGAGTGACATTCTAAGCTGGGCTCGGAATGTCCTAGCTCCGGTTTGTGGACTCCAGCTTCTTCTCTCAGGGCGAGCTCATTTCCAGAACCCCAGGCCTCATGCAAATCCAATTTATCTCCAGTTCTCTATGACAGGACTATCCACTAATAATGACCTTGCATCTGCTTTCATCAGGGACAAACACCTCCCAGGTACCCTGATCTACACCTTGAGCTCAACCTTCTCAACATAGCAAATACACTATTACTGCTTAGTGCATAAAATATTGAACAAAACGTTGCTTCTAGGTTTGTAAGGACCATGTTGGGACAACTGGTCTCAGGTGGTGCTGGGCTTAGTTCTTGTCTCTGAATGGTGTTTTCTTTGATGGAGAAGAAAAGGTCAAGGAAACCATGTTTTTCCAGGATAAAGTCCATTCAGTTTCAGAGGGATGTAGCTAGAGTTCAGTGTCACAGATCAGCTCACTTGGCAAGTCCACTGTGACTTGATTGCAACTTATGATTGGCCAGCGAGTGTTGTGTGACGGGGAAATACTGCTGCCACCTCCCCCTTCCCCTCCCCTTCCTGATATCTGTGGGATTGTTTCCATTTCTTTTGTTCCCTCTCTTACCCTTTTTGATGTTCATTCTTAACATTTAATTGTGTGCATTTGACTCAACACTATCCAATTTAAACTTATCTCTGTCTTCTCGTGCATAAAACAAAGCTCACGGAAGCTTGCATTTATATTCTTTAAGTTTTACTGTTTCGGCTTGGGAGGTGGCTCGGTAGGCAAAGTGCTTGCCATGCAAGCATGAAGCTGAGTTTGGATTCCCAGTACCCATGTAAAAGCTGGGCATGGTGGCATCTGCAATCACATTTCTGGAGGACAGAGACAGGCAGATTCCCGTGAGCCCTCTGGCCAACCAACCAATCTAGCCAAATTTGTGAGCGCCAGATTCAGTGAGAGACACTGTCTCAAAAAAAATATGGTGGTGCATGATCAAGGAAGACACTCAGCATTGACCCCATGCATAGGACCTGCATACACACACACACACACACACACACACACACACACATACACATACATCATTTTATCTTTTTTGTGCTCCAAAATTTGGCCATTGTTATTATTTAGAGTTAGCTACATGTGTGCCATCTTATTGGCTTATAAAAATGCTTCCTGGCTTGCTGCTGGTCCTGGCACATGTTTTTAATCCCAGCAATTGGGAGGCAGATGCAAGTGAATCCCTGTGAGATCAAGATCAGCCTGGGATGGTTTACACAGTGAGTTCCAGGTCAGCTGGGGCTACATAGTGAGACCCTGTCTCAAAAGAAAAAGAGCTTTCTGTACTTTCTTCCTTCTTTCAGCATCCTGCTTTCTGAAACATATAACCTAGAAGTGACAAATTCTCTTAGTTATTTTCTGAAAAGTGTTTTCTTATTTTTTGCTCAATATTAAATGATGGTTTGGTTGGTATAGAATTTTAAGTTGATAGCTATTTTCCTTCAGCATCTTGAAGATGTTATTGTTTCTTTTGGATTCTGTTGTTGATGTTGAAAGTCTTCTCATCCACAACCATATCCACATCCACAAGCACATCCACATCCACAACCACATCCACAATCACATCCACATCCACATCCACAACCACATCCACAATCACATCCACATCCACATCCACAACCACATCCACAATCACATCCACATCCACATCCACAACCACATCCACAATCACATCCACATCCACATCCACAACCACATCCACAATCACATCCACATCCACATCCACAACCACATCCACAATCACATCCACATCCACATCCACAACCACATCCACAATCACATCCACATCCACATCCACATCCACAACCACATCCACAACCATACCCACATCCACATCCACATCCACAACCACATCCACATCCACATCTATACCCACATCCACATCCACATCCACAACCATATTCATATCCACATGCACATCCACATCCATATGCACATCCACATCCACAACCACATCCACAATCACATCCACATCCACATCCACAACCATATCCATATCCACATGCACATCCACATCCATGTGCACATCCACATCCACAACCACATCCACAACCATAACCACATCCACAACCACATCCACATCTACAACCACATCCATGTCTACATCCATATCTGTATCTGTGTCTATATCTCATCTCTATGTTTTGTTTCTTTGTTTTAAGATCTTCCTTTTGTCTTTATTGTTGTGAAACTTTACTCCATTGTCATGCTTCCTTTTTTTTTTTGGCCTTTTTGACATTTATTTTTTGGTTTTTATTGAGACAGGGTCTTTTTCCTTTAGCACCAGCAACTCTGGAACTTACCATGTAGACCAGGCTGGATAGAGGCCTGGATTGAGATCTACCTGTCTCTGCCTCCCGAATGCTGGAATTAAAGGTGTACACCACCATGCCCGGTTACTTGCGTGATTCTTGAACTGATTTATATACTTAGACAGCTGTGGAAAATCCCCAGCCATTTTTGAATATGACTTCTGACTTATTAATTTAAAACAGCTTTACTTATGTATAATTAATGTACAACATACATAATTCATATCCATAAAGTTTACCTATGTAAAATAAGAGATTAAATGCTTTAAAATGTTTTTGTAGTTATAGCCATAACTACGTGTAGAACATTTTATGACTCATCAAAAACACTTTGTACTCCTCAGAAGTCATTTTGCATTCTCTCCCAAGCGCTGAGTCCTATAGATTTGCTCGCTCTGGTCACCTCATACTGTAAACGACCTGGCGGGGATGAAGAGAATCTGAAGAGACACTTCTGTCCCTCACTTCACCACCAGATTATTGAACAATGGACTCCCAAGAAATTGGAATTTCCCTAGGAATCGCATACTGAGAAAAGAGAGAGCCTAAAGCCTGGGCCAGCCAGAGGAGAAACTTTATCCTGGGACTTGTCAGGCCATTTTGCAGGAGTGTGGAGACAAGATAATTATGGGTCAGCGATGGGTGGGAGCACACCGTGCCTGAAAGTGCTTAGCTATGCATAATTCTTCCCCTTTACTCATTTCACTGTAGGGCTCTGAAGGACTTGGGGTACTGGGTCTCTTTGTCCCTCTTTCCCAGTGTGGCCACATTGAATAAACCTCTTTTTTCTGCTTTTCACTATTAAATTGCTGTTTCAATTGATTTGTTGAGGACGAGTGGCTAAACTTGGCTTGTTGGGGCACAAGCTGTGACCCTAAGTCCTGAAACAATATGAATGGAATCCATGACATGTGGTGTTCTGTGACTGGCTTACTTTGCATAATCTAGTGCCTATGGATCCATCCATGTTCTAACATGTAACATGTATTATGAACATTGGAACATTGGATATTTGGACTGTTATCAGTTTTGGGTATTAGGATAACACTTTTAAATATTTGTGCTCAAGTTT